ATTGTCATGAAAGTGTCTCTCTTTAGGTACACCTTTATTTCATTAATATATTATCTGCGAGTAAAAATACACTTTTAAGATTTGAAGTGCACTACAAGTGCACATTCAATGCAATTGCGTGCGCTTCTTTTCCACAAAGGTGGAGAAAAAGTATCAAATGCAGTTAAAGTGTTACATGTGCCCTAGTTTGATAATTTTGCAAATGAAGAACGTCTCCTACCGTTTGAGTTATCAATGTTTGGTGCACTTACACGCAAACAGAGATTACATATTATCTTTTTCCTAACTGTGCTAAACTTTCAAGAGCTTTATCATGTGCCGTGCCAAACACCGTGACTCAATAAAGGTTGTATTGTTAACGTCAGCTATGATCGTAAGCAAAATAAATGATCTTAAGCAACGTAAGCAAGAAGTTAGAGCTTCAAATGTTAAAGACGTTAGTCGTAGATTTAACTCTTACATTTTGAGGACCAAAAAGTAATACCAATTTTAGACAACTGTAAGAAGAGAAACAGTATCTGACATCTAAAACTGAATCAGAGCACAAACTGTCCAGATTCATGCGAGTCTGTTCTGTGAAGCATCTAAACATACAGTTCTGTTAGAGAGGAGTACAAAACAGCGTGACCGTTCCCCTGACTATGACAGTTACCAGTGCTCAAGGAAAGTTACACAGTAATCAGATGTCCGCCCTTGCACACTTTAGCATACTTTTAAAAAAGAGAACCTATTTTGGAAATAATACACTTTAAAAGAATATACTAATATGTGAGAGTTTTCAGACACTTAACTGCATGTTAAGTGCAATTAAATGAAAATGTTGATACATTTGACATTAGAGTGCTTTTTGACCTACTTAGGCAGAACTTTTAACATCTTTATATGTAATTTAATAAATCATTTGACATTATTAAAAATGGCACTTAAAAAAAAAAGTCATGAAAGTATCTGTCTTTAAATGTTCACTTAAGTGGTCATTAATATATCATCTGCAAGCAGTGTTGGGCAAGTAACTCTAAAAATTTAATTAATTTCTTGCTATTAATTACATATTCAACAGTGTAATTAGATTACTGTACTAATTACTCGCTCTAAAAAGTATTGCATTACTTTCTAAGTCCCATATCAACCTCAACCAGTTGAACAATAGACATGAAACTAAAAATAAACAATACAAAATTGCATAAATTATTCTTGAACTGACCAAAGTATTTAAAGGGAGAAGGTTACATTAAAAACATATATTTTAACATTGTTACATTTTGATGTTAAATCCACTATTGTTCTATACAGCATTTAATGTAATTACATCAGAAGTAACTGTAATTAAATTACAGAAAAAACTAAGAGTAAACCCTTACTTTTTTCATGGGAAAAGTAATTAAATTACAGTAATTAATTACTTAGTTATACATTACACTCAACACTGTCTGCAAGTACAGCTATACGGTAACACTTTAGTTTAGGGACCAAATCTATTAACTAGTTGCTTATTAGCATGCCTTTTATTAAGATATTGGCTGTTTATTAGTACTTATAAAGCACAAATTCTGCATGACCATGTTCTACATCTCCAATAACTAAACTTAACAACTACCTTACTAACTATTAATAAGCAGCAAATTAGGAGTTTATTGAGGCAAAAGTTGTAGGTAATGGTTTGTTAATAGTGAGAATTGGACCTTAAAATGAAGTGTGACCAAATATACTTTTTAAAGGGGTCATATGATGTTGCTAAAAATAACATTATTTTGTGTATTTGGTGTAATTAAATGTGTTTATGCAGTTTAAGGTTCAAAAAACACGTTATTTTCCACATACTGTACATTATTGTTTCTCCTCTATGCCCCGCCTTTCTGAAACACGTCGATTTTTACAAAACTCATCGGTCTGAAAAGCAAGGTGTGCTCTGATTGGCCAGCTATCCAGTGCGTTGTGATTGGCCGAATACCTCAAGCGTGTGACGGAAATGTTATGCCCCTACCATACTGTGATGCCGTGTCCCGGCCGGAGCGATGATTCAAAAACATGAAAACCCATTATAAACGAGGCATTCGTTGCATCCAGTGGGGACATAATTATGGATTATAATGACTTATACTGTCTTTTTACACATTGCGTTGCATCGCGCCGCGTAAACATAAAACCATGTCTGCATTTGTGATCAGAGAAATGACAAACAACAAGCCCTACTCTACACTGCTCAAAAGTCACTTTAAATATAAAAAACGTACTTACAGTCTGTGAGTCAGAACAGCCGGCATTGTAGTCTACTCTCCCAGGATCAGGAAACCGTCCTCCATAAAATGTGCTGCACACATCTGAATATTTGGGTTGAACTGTTCTGGAACAGTGTTGTAAATACAACGTAACTACTGATTTCTAGTCGTGTCCTCTTTTGGAAGGCCAAACAAAGTAGTTTCGCTCTCAACACGAAACACAGCGTCACACACGGCGGCCTACAGTGAGCAGAGGGGGCTAGAGTGAGGAACGGCCGGAGGGCTAGAGTGAGCAGAGGGGGTGGCTTGAGAACGGCGCGGCCGGCGGATTCGACAAAGGAGCGTCCGAAGGGCTTGCGGCAAGCACATGTGACGACCCCGAGCTGGACTCCGCTTCGTCCACGGCGAAAGCCGATCCGGTGATCCACAGCGCAAAGTTGAAGTATTTCCTCAGCGACCAGCATGGATCAGCTCCAGGCATGACGAATCCATATCGTCCTCTTTTGGAAGGCCAAACAAAGTAGTTTCGCTTTCACAACGAAACACACAGCGTCTTCGCGACATGGTGGCGGTGGCAACAACAATACTACAGTGAGAATAAAAGTTATGCCTTCTTTCTTTGCGTGAACATTTGGGCGGTGTTATGCAAATCTTCCCACATAGTGATGTAGATATGTGGGGGCGTGTTAGAACGAGGCGTTTTAGGTAGGCGTGGCTGACTCTTAACTTTTATAAAGAATATCTCTTTGGATTTGAGACTTTAGTCTTTGCAACTTTACAGATCTTCTTTATGCACCAAGAGCTTGTAACACTCCAAAGAGAAAGGAAAACTTGAAATCGCATTATATGACCCCTTTAAGATTAGAAGTACATTACAAGTGCCCATTCAGTGCAAATAATTGTTCTTCTTTTTCTAATTTTGCTAAAAGGTTGCTATTTTATGACTCGAGACTTTTTATAGTTCTCTGTAGTATCAAGTATCAATTCGCCTCAGATGTTTCTCCTAATATTCCTCTTGAGAAATGAAAATAGAAAGCATTCAGAATGACAGTAAATGCTGATAGCAGAGCTCTAATAATTTGATCCTGTATCAGTTTGATTCATTCATACTGAAATCTCTGATGTGATATCATGGCAAATTTGAGCACATTGGTGACATCTTTTGTGGCAGAGAAATGTGAGATTATTGAGGTCTGATTTCAGCTCAATGGATTTAAACTAAATCTCTTTGGTTTTGAGACTTTAGTCTTTGCAACTTCAGGGATCTTATCTATGCACAATCAGCTTGTAACACTCCAAAGAGAAAGGAAAACTTGAAATCGCATCATATGACCCCTTTAATCATGTTCCTCGCTTTGCATCTCTCTCTCTCTCTCTCTCAATCTCTCATTCAGATCGTCAGATCAGCTCCAACAATGAACTGTTCCATTTATACACTTATTTTCACATAGCAATGTGAAGCATTATACACGGACGTGCGTGCGGTTGCCGTGCTGTATTAAAGCTTTAATCAGGATAAAACAGTATATTAAAAGCTAACAGAAGCAGTAGCATTTACAAATAACAGCGTATCTAAAATTATAAGACAACATCAAACAAAAAACATACCATTAAGAACCGTGTGTTTGCACAGGTTCTGCGGATCCTTTTCACTAATATTCTCTGGGTCTCAATCGGGCTCAAATTGATAAGCAATATTGACGACGCCCTTGTTTACAATACAACCGGAGCACATGCCGCTGAGCTGAGGGGTGGGATGTTTAGACACACATGGGCAGTTTAGCCAATCACAACAGCTGACCAATCTGAGCTCATTGCGTATTTCTGAGGGCGGGGCTTCATAAAAGCAGGAAATGGTCAGCGTCTTTATAGGAGAAGAGACAGAGCGGTGTAGAATAAAGGTAAATTATGTGAAAAATAATGCGTTTATTTTTTTTTAAAACGAAGCATTAACACATGTTAGACTGCACCCCATAAACACAATCAAGCCTAGAAAAAAACAGTCAACCACCCCTTTAAGAACTGTTCACTGAAAGGTTCTTTGGGGAACCAAAATGGTTCTTTTTTTGGCATCACTGTGAAAACCCTCTTTTTTATTTTAAGAGTGTTGAAGAAGAAATCAAGTTTTAACATGGTAAATTTCTAATGCTGCGTGGCGTTTAATAAACTAACTTACACACGGTACAAACTAAACTCTCATAGAAAATTAAGTCATTTTGAGACATATATGTGACCCTGGACCACAAAACCAGTCATAAGGGACAGTTTTTTAAATTGAGATTTCAAAATAAATAAGCTTCCCATTGATGTATGGTTTGTTAGGATAGGACAATATTTAGTCGAGATACAACTATTTGAAAATCTGGAATCTGAGGGTGCAAAAAAATCTAAATACTGAGAAAATCGCCTTTAAAGTTGTCCAAATGAAGTTCTTAGCAATGCATATTACTAATCAAAAATTACATTTGATATATTTACGGTAGGGAATTTACAAAATATCTTCATGGAATATGATCTTTATTACATTTGGGCGGCATTATGCTAATATTTCCACATAGTGAGGTAGATATGTGGGGGCGTGTTAGAACGAGCCGTTTTAGGGGGGCGTGGCAAGAGTCTTAACTTTGATAAAGAATATCTCTTTGGTTTTGAGACTTTAGTCTTTGCAACTTCAGGGATCTTATCTATGCACAATCAGCTTGTAACACTCCAAAGAGAAAGGAAAACTTGAAATCGCATCATATGACCCCTTTAATCATGTTCCTCGCTTTGCATCTCTCTCTCTCTCTCTCTCAATCTCTCATTCAGATCGTCAGATCAGCTCCAACAATGAACTGTTCCATTTATACACTTATTTTCACATAGCAATGTGAAGCATTATACACGGACGTGCGTGCGGTTGCCGTGCTGTATTAAAGCTTTAATCAGGATAAAACAGTATATTAAAAGCTAACAGAAGCAGTAGCATTTACAAATAACAGCGTATCTAAAATTATAAGACAACATCAAACAAAAAACATACCATTAAGAACCGTGTGTTTGCACAGGTTCTGCGGATCCTTTTCACTAATATTCTCTGGGTCTCAATCGGGCTCAAATTGATAAGCAATATTGACGACGCCCTTGTTTACAATACAACCGGAGCACATGCCGCTGAGCTGAGGGGTGGGATGTTTAGACACACATGGGCAGTTTAGCCAATCACAACAGCTGACCAATCTGAGCTCATTGCGTATTTCTGAGGGCGGGGCTTCATAAAAGCAGGAAATGGTCAGCGTCTTTATAGGAGAAGAGACAGAGCGGTGTAGAATAAAGGTAAATTATGTGAAAAATAATGCGTTTATTTTTTTTTAAAACGAAGCATTAACACATGTTAGACTGCACCCCATAAACACAATCAAGCCTAGAAAAAAAACAGTCAACCACCCCTTTAAGAACTGTTCACTGAAAGGTTCTTTGGGGAACCAAAATGGTTCTTTTTTTGGCATCACTGTGAAAACCCTCTTTTTTATTTTAAGAGTGTTGAAGAAGAAATCAAGTTTTAACATGGTAAATTTCTAATGCTGCATGGCGTTTAATAAACTAACTTACACACGGTACAAGCTAAACTCTCATAGAAAATTAAGTCATTTTGAGACATATATGTGACCCTGGACCACAAAACCAGTCATAAGGGACAGTTTTTTAAATTGAGATTTCAAAATAAATAAGCTTCCCATTGATGTATGGTTTGTTAGGATAGGACAATATTTAGTCGAGATACAACTATTTGAAAATCTGGAATCTGAGGGTGCAAAAAAATCTAAATACTGAGAAAATCGCCTTTAAAGTTGTCCAAATGAAGTTCTTAGCAATGCATATTACTAATCAAAAATTACATTTGATATATTTACGGTAGGGAATTTACAAAATATCTTCATGGAATATGATCTTTATTTAATATCCTAATTATTTTTGGCATAAAAGAAAAATAGATAGACATTTTGACCCATACAATGTATTGTTGGCTATTGCTACAAATATACCCATGCTACTTATGACTGCTTTTGTGCTTCAGTGTCACATATATGTGCTCTTCCTGAAGTGTCTTCGCCATCTGATTGTTAGGTCCTGTGTTTTGGTGGGGGATCAGAGGAGACAAAGGTTTTACTTTAGGTCAGGCACTGAAAAAGGCACACTGCCGAAGAGGTCCTCCCCCAACTTCAGGACTGATTTTACACGCTTTTGCTTTTCACACTGCCTGAATCAGAGGAGTAAACAAAAGAACGTCTCTCTTTTCGGGGGGACTCCGAGACTGTTGAAAGTGCAAACCAGCGAGGGAAGGTGACCCCTGACCTCACATTTACTAAACATGTCTCTTAGAGTCCCCGAATGGGAGGGGTGCTGGGAAAGGTCAAAACACGTCACCGTGAGTGACGTCAGAGCTGTCAGGAGCCCTGTCTTGTGTTCAAGTCCTCACCAGCGTCACAGATTAGGGTAAAAAAGCTTTATACAGGGATGATACTTGCCTAAATGATTGTCAGGGGCATTTTTTACATTTAAGAGGACACTTTTTGGTTACACTTTATTGTAAGGTGTTCTTATTACAGTGTAATTATGCATTTAAGTACTGAGTAATATTAATTAACTACATGGTTAGGGTTTGGCTTAGGGTTACTTGCATGTAATTATGCATCATTTGTTATAATAGTATGTACATGTAACATGAGTAACAAGGACACCTTAAAATAAAGTGTTACCCACTTTTTTTAACAATTGTTATAAAAATGTTGTCCATTTATTCAAGTGGAATAATAAAAACTACTATGGCTGTTTATTATATAAATCTTTATTAAATAGGAATGTATCTATCCCTTGTGAAAAAGAAGTACGCTTTAGAATATTTAAAAAAAATAGTACTTATTACAGACACAATATACTTTAAAAGTATATAAATAAGTGTAAAATGAGTATAATGTTTTCGGATACTTTATTGCATGCTAATTGCAAGTTGCAATACAGTTTAAATTAATATAAAATTAACTTCGTTTAACTTAAGAGTGTTTTTAGACACACTTAAGTACAGTAGGACTTAAAAATAATCTTTAATATGATACGATATATGAAATAATTATAAAACTTTATAAAAATTATTGAAGCTATTGTGTTCGAAATATGGTTAAAGTGAACTGCTGAATGTACTCACAAGGAATCACTGTAAAAAATGACCGTGAATTTAACGGTAAAAGACTGTAAAAATGCTACAGTAAAAACCTGTTAAATGGTTAACGGTAAATTCCCCTACTATGTACGGTAAAAACGGTATTGGACATTACATGTATTGGACATAAATTTTACGGTAGTATACCGTTTTTGGAAGTGAAAAATACAGTATAATTTACAGTGAATAACCGTAAATTTACATTCCCAGAATTCCCTGCGTTACATTTCAAATTTGATGTTTTTTCGTTGAAATAACTATGTTTCTTCTTAGTTTTGTATATTAGGGTTGTGTGTTACACCTAATGTTGTTAAATGAATGTTTATTGCATTATTTCAGTTTCATGTGTGTTACCATGATGGTGTTTAGTGTTTGTGTGAATGACACTGTGCACCTTCTATATATGTTATTATTTAAAAGCTGCTTGTGATGGGCTTTGGTTCATCATGTGACTTTCTCATCACCACCTGCATTTGGTGGTTATCAGTGTATTACAAAGGTGCAAAACAGATTTCAGTACTTCAATAGGTTGGTATATTAACATTATATCAGTTAATGAAATTACGGTATTTAACTGTAAATTAGTTAAAAAGTTAAAACTGTAAAACCTGAAATTATAATCAAGTACTTTATGTGTGCTTTAGCATGTTAGTCAACACATTAAAATAATGATTAAAAAAAATAACGATTTAAAGTGTACTTTTCATTTTACATTATTGCACTTTTAAATGGACAGAAATTCATAAAATAATTTAATGAGATACTAATGCAATAATGGAACTAACTCAAATATATAATGTCCAGACAAATCAAAGTAATGGTAGAAAATGAATGGTACCCCCAAATAATTATAAAGAAAATAATGTCAGAATGTTAAAAAAAAAAAAAACACTTAAAATAGGTCTTAAATTTTTAACAAAACGCCAAAGCATGTTATGGTAAAAACTAAAAAGATAAAAGAAAAATAAATTCTATTTTGGACAAAGACAGTGGAGCCTACTCTCTTTGTCCAAAATCAAATTTCTTATTTTTTTCTTTGAATTTTTGACCATGCTTTGATGTTTTGTCACTTGCCATGGCATTTTGCCTCGAGCCCTGGTTAACCCTTCTCTGCATGTTTTGGCCATCTGACTTGTAGCACTGTCCGGGTGAAATGTGGGCCTATAAAATGGAGTGCACTCGTTTACTAGTACCTGCAGAAACAAGGGTGCAAAACAGAGGCAGACCTTTAAAACGCCAGTGTGGGGTTTGTTACCCAGGACCCTGAAGACGCTGTATTGTCCCGGGACACAAAGCCTTCTATTTAGGTGTGGGGTAATCACAGAGTGTCCGGCTGGGCTAGAGGAATTCCTCGGCCTCACGCGGGTCCGCCTGCCTAATCTAGTCCTGGATGGGAGGGGAGGAAGTTGCTTGGTGGTCCCTCTCTTTAGCAACATAATTTATGACCATCCAGAGGTCTGGCTCTACCATTGCAGATGTAGGGAGAGGAGGAGAGACATTACGGAAACAAAGAAGAGGGTGTGAGACTTTAAACTATGATTGGTGATGGTTTGACATGCAATCAGTGTGTAAACATTTAACTACTATGCTAGTGGTTCAGCTGCGGAAAGGACAACTGAAAATGTCGGAATAAATTCCCAGTAAATATTAACATGTCAAATAAAGTGCGTATATTTTAAAGTAGCGCATGAATACCTTTTTTGACAAAAAAATTGTAATCTAATGCAATGACATCCATGCATTTTAAACTGTGACCAAACAATTTGAGGCCAATGTAATCATACACTGAATTTCTAAACAAATTCCACTCAAAAAATGTCATCAATTTTGACAGAGAAAAATCAAATAACACATTGAACTAAACATGAAATTTAGAAAGACTTCAAATATTTTGTTTGAAACCACTCCAATAATCTTTTTTTTTATTTTTTTTTATTCTATACACTGGTCAAAAAGTTTGGGGTGAGTAAGATGTTTTATGAAATATTGAAACTTTTATTCAGGAAGGACACAATCGAATGATCAAACATGACAGTAAAGACATTTAAAATATTACAAAAGATTTATATTTCAAATAAATGCTGTTCATTCAGCTTTCTATTCATCAGCGAATCCATCCTGAAAAAAATGAATCATGATTTCCACAAAAAAACATTAAGCAGCACAACTGTTTTCAACATTGATATTAATAAGAAATGTTGAGCCGCAAGTCAGCACATTAGGATGATTTCTGAAGCATCACGTGACACTGAAGACTGGAGAAATGATGCTGAAAATTCAGCTTTGAATAATTTACATTTGAAAATATATTTAAATGGAAAACGGTTATTTTAAATGGCAATAATATTTCACAATATTACTGTTTTTACTTTATTTTTGATCAAATAAATGCAGCCTTGATGAGCGGAAGAAGAAAAAAATGTTAACTTTTGAACGGTTGTGTAATGAATAATCATTGATGAGATCAGAAATGTTATATTAACAGAGGATGATCATTTCTTGACTGAACAGGAATCTCCTCCTCAGTACTACAACAGCAGACAGACTCTCGTAGCTTCATCTGATGCTGAGCAAGCACATGACACCGGTCTTGATAACGTGAATGCACGGGTAAGAGCTTTTTTAAATGAATGAATCTGCATCCTTTACCCATAATTATATCTGCCTTCATTTACTCACCTTCACGTCGTTATAAACCTGTATGACCAATAGGCATCAAAATACTTTTCTTCTATGTATTTTCTAGAAGAAAGAACAGTATGCAGGTTTGAAACAACATGAGGGTGAAACTGTCTAGAAATAGTCACATATTCATGTTTTGTTTCTGCGTGTGCTTGACAGTCGGGCTCGTTGTTCCTCATTGGTGTCCCGAGCAGCTACTACCTTTCCTCACTGGAGCCTCCTCTTCCTCGTCTGCCCTCGTACGAGAGCGTCCGCAAGAAAGACCGACAGCGGCAGATCCACATGATGATAGCCGACCGCTTTGGCCTGAACGGACCTGTTGAGACAGAGGTGATTCATTTAGCTGCAGTAACAGTATTAATCTACAAACGACCGGTTGACATGACATGCCATTTAACTGTCCTCAAAGCACAAAGCTGAATAGAAATAAACATAGATAATCATCAAATTATCAAAAATTGTATTTAATTAAATTAAAGTCTGTATATTTTCAAATATGACCGGTCATGCGTTTCCATACTATTTTCAAATGTAAACAGTTCTATATAGTTGAATGTCACTTGTTGGGTACTTAAGATCTGAAAAGTATATTTAAATACTTGCAGATGATATAATATTAATGAAATAAGTTCACTTAAAGAGAGACACTTTCATGACAGTTACCTAAGTACACTAAAAAGTGCACTAAAGAAGTACACTTATTTTGATGTGTTGACTAACATACTAAAGCACATGTAAAGTACTTCATTATAATTTATCTATAGTGTGTATTTAATCTATTAGTTATTCTATATATATATATATATATATCAAGTTGATATAATTTAAATGTACTAAACTGCATTTTCATCATTATAAATGTGTAATTTCAAATATATTTAAATACATTACATTGGCATTTCAATAGAAAATATATTTTAGTTCACCATAAATGCTTGTCAGTACATTCAGCAGTCACTTTAACCATATTTCAAAAAGACAACTGAAGTAATTATAAAATTACATATAAATATGTACTTAAGTCCTACTTAAGTGAGTCAAGAAAACACTCTAAAGTTAATTGCATTTAATACAGATTTTCACTATAATACATTTAACATGCAATTAAGTGTCTGAAAACATAGCATTCAATTTGCAATCAAGCATATTTCCATAAGTGCTTTTTAAAAAGTATGCTTCTTCGCAAGGGATGAGTGGTTCTAAATCCATTTAAAATGAGCAAGAAAAAGGGTCAAACCTGCATGTGTGGCTGCAGCATGGAAGTGTAACAATAGTGGATTATCTTTAAAAGCTCTTTAAAGCGTTTTTTTTTCTATTATAGTTTTTGTACATGCAGCTTTCGTGACCTCATTAGACTAGATTAAGTTAATTACTTTACTGAAAAATTGATGATGACTTCTAAAAGCATACACTTGTACAGATATTCAAATTTGAACATAAAATCGTCACGATGGGAAAAAAAGTTCACATCAGTCTGTCATCCACTCAGAGCTCACAGATGTCACTTTACTAAAGCCCTGCTATAACAGTTTAGTCTCTCAGCAGCTGCGGTCTGACTGAATTAAATAACAAAAGATTTTTAATATGAATGACCCACAATTTTCTGTTCCGTAACATGATCCTATCTGAGAAACGGACGGCATTCATGTCCCTCGCCTGCACTGCTGCCGTGACGCACACATGCTGCGAGCGCTCCAAGGCCCTGTGATGTTGACTTAGCGCCAGGAAAACGCATGAGTACACCCGCTAATGGGAATTAATGCACATCAAACATAATAAAGTGGCCTGTTTTGAAAGGTAAACATTAGTGGACAATACGGCTCATTGTCTGTCTGTCCTCTCCTTTACTCCCCAGGATTCACTGGGTGGATCATTCACTCATTAACCATATTATTGAGCTTAATTAGCTTGTTCTCCAGCTGGGCGCCGCGGTTTTGTTTGCTTTAAAATGGCTGTTTTTTTTAGAAGGCTAAAGGGCAGACGTGGAGCTCAAAGCTTAAAAGAAAGAAGAAAGAAAGAGAGATAAAATGGCAAGAGGAAGTTGCTGCAAGGTAGAAGCTGAGCAGTGATATCGCCAGCTAAATTTGTTTAAATAAATGTTGAGCTCTGTATTATGAATTAGCATAGTGCAGAGGTCTTTATCTTTGGGAACGTATTCACTTGATAAGCATTAGCAATGTTAAATAATAATAAAATCATATGAGGAAACTAGATTTTTATGTTTTCTACTGGATATTTTCTCAGGAAATGATGCTAGTGTGTTGTGGACGGTTGTCAGGCCATTGTTTAAAGCGATAGTTCAGCCAAGAATGAAAATTCTGTCACTAATTATTCATCCTCATGCCGTTGCAAACATGTAAGGGCTTCGTTCATCTCCGGAACACAAATTAAGATATTTTTGATGAAATCCAAGAGCTTTCTGACCCTCCATAGACAGCAACGCAACTGACACGTTCAAGGCCCAGAAAGTTAGTCAGGACATTGTTAAAATAGCCCATGTGACATCAGTGGTTCACTTTTTGTGTGCAAAGAAAATAAAAATAACAACTTTATTCAACAATTTCGCAGGAGCTGGCACTCCGACGTAGAACCCGGATGCGCTCCGGCTTATTTGCAAGCAGAGAAAGATGCACGCTGTACATAAAACAGTCTTCGTAAACATGTCTGAAGATTTCGACTTGCAATTTTTTGCCCATGAACTATTTTAACAATGTCCTTACTACCTTACTAGACCTTGACTCCGGTCACTTCTTCAATGTAAGTCCTGTTCACATCAAGAGCAATAACTACAGTGATAATTATAACCATAAACTTTTAAAAATCACTCTAAAGGTGAGGTCACATTTATTTACCATTGTTAGGCAAATTTTTAAGGTCGAAATTAAATTATGCTCTTTTACAAAGTCTTGATTTTGTTTTGGGGGTGTACTAGAACATGCTCTCATGCTTGGTGGTTCGAAAAACGCATTATTTTTCACATCATTTACATTATTACAATACATTTCTCCCCAGGCTGGCACAAACGGCTCGATTAGTTCCGGCTTTGATGAAGGTCCACCTTCCGAAAAACAAAATGTGTTGTGATTGGTTAGCTGTCCCAGTGCGTTGTGATTGGCGAACAGCTTAGACAGTGTTTCAGTACTGCCACGCCCCTTGCTCCGTCTTTCAACAAAAGCTTTTGGGCGAATCCGGCACTTTACTCCCTGGTGTTGTGGAAGCTGTCCTCAGTACAATGCGCAGCACACAATTGCAAATTGGGGTTATTTTGCTCAGGGACAGAGTTAAAAAATAAATTGCAACCACTGTTTCCTGACGTCATCCGCTTTCGGAAGCCCAAACAAAGACGTTTGGGCACGGAGGTGAAAAAAACAGCATTTCAGGCGGTCGCACACCGGACGAGAAGCACAGCGTCGCGTTGCGCCACATCTTTAAAATTCGAATACATTATTTTCTATGAGTGTAGGCACACCGGCGGCGCCCAGCTACGTCGTGTTGTACTTGTAAGAATTGTTCTAGACATGCCGAAAATTTGACGCTACTACAGCACTGCAGCTCTTCTTCTTCGTTTTCTCTGATGCACTAACTCTGCAGCAGCGCTTCTTCTTCATCGTCTCATCTGATGCACTCACTCAACCAAGCGTTCTAACCACAACCTCGCCCCTCCCCAACCCCCCAACCATTCCAATTTCCGTAGACGGGAATTATTTTTAATTATATTCTAATGAGCCACTTTGTGATATCACAAAGCCCGGAAAACAAACGCTGTAGTCCAAACGAGCCGTTCGTTGTAGTTCTTGAAAAGGGATTTAAAAAAAAACGAAATACCTCCCTTTGGAGTGGACTTTGAGATTTGTAACTTTCTAGATCTTTTTTATGCCCAAACATACACACTGACTAAAATTAAAAAAGTGAAAAAGCATAATAGGACCCCTTTAAGTAATTTCAATAGAAATCTGCGCAATCAGTAATTTTGCTTGACGGCCAAAGATTTTCTCACAGATTTCACACATTTTTAGATTACCACATTTATCCACTACATTTCTCCAAATCTGTTCTGAAGAAACACACATCTACATCTTGTATGGCCTGAGGGTGAGTATATTCAATGTGAGTACTTTCAGCAAATTTTTATTTTTGGGTAAACTATTCCTTTAAGAGAATAGAGGAGTCCTGACACAAATTATAACTAAACCGACATTTTGGTTAAACACCAAAAATGTGACATAAGCAAAATCACTTTTGGAGAAGTGCGCCTAAGCCATTTTTCTAGTGCAAGCTGTTCATTTGTGGTGTCACACGTGTGGTTTAAGTCAAGCTTTATCTCTGTTTTTTTAACACAGCTTACAGCATAATATAATGATTTCTGAAAGATCATGTTGCACTGAAGACTGGAGTGGTGATGCTGAAAATTCAGTTTTACATCACAGGAATAAATTACATCTTAAAATATATTCCCACAGAAAACAGTTACTTTAAATTGTAATCGTATTTAGCAATATTACTGTTTTTACTGCGTCTTTAAACATAACGCAGCATTGGTGAGCATAAGAGACTTTATTGAGATTTTACAAACTTTTTTAATGGTAGTGTAAATTCAACTAGAGTTTTTTTAATGTGCTGTTTTAATTTAATATTGACCAGTCCTTTATATATTAACATACTTGACTGGTTGATTACTATTAGCATCATGGCTATATGAAACATAGGCTAAATACTTCATAGTGAAAGGCTGTATATCAGTTTATGTATGTATGTATATATATTACTATACAGTATGTGTATTGATATATACATAATAAATATACACAGTACACACACATACAGCATGTAAACAAAAACTTTTATTTTGGAGGCGATTAATCGCAATTAATCGTTTGACAGCACTAATATATAGAGTACTATATAAACATTTATGTTTCAGTAGTATGCATATTGTTGACTAATTGTATTAAACTGCATTAAATAGACAAGTCCTCTAATATTTAAAGGACATTGTACAAATAGAATCTATCTATCTATCTATCTATCTATCTTTATATGGTCCATTATATTAAACATAAATATTTAGCAATATTAAACATTATTAATATTTAGCAATTAAGCACACTTTCCCTATTGTATTGCAAGAAACATCAACAACAACTACAACAAAAAAATCTCATCGTCATTATTGTGTTGTATTTAACTGATAAAGTATTCATACAATGTATTGCCTATATACCAACAGCTTTCTTCTGGATACTGAAGAATTTTTGTGAAATTGTGTCTTCTAGTGGTCACTTCAGGAAGTAGCAACTTTACCACTCCTAACTAAAAACAGATGATCCTGTATTATTCCTGTTTAGCTACCTGCAACCAAATGAGCTCCGATTGCCTGGAAGCGGTTTAAAGTGTAACTCTTCTTCAGCTCCTATAGAGTCTTTATTGTCTTCAGTGATGTCCTAATGAGAGGCACCACAGAGAGGCTTGTCTTCTGTCCACAGCAGCAGCACAGCTGGGGCCTCAATCTCCACACACACAATACAGAGTGAATAGCACATGTCAGTCAGAAGAAGACACACTTAATGCGTCAGCGGATTCATCTTCATTAGATCCCGTAAAACAGCCCTTCACATGAGTGACGTTAATCACACTGAATTGGCTCTTTATGGGGATTTGAACACAACACGCTTGCTAAGACGTCCTGTTAAAACACATGGCAAACAATGTAAGAGAGTCTGGAATAGAAGTGAAACATGCTTGATTTTGAACATCTTCACCCTTCTTGATTCTGACATCATTTTTGCACACTGAACACAAGAACAGATGTGAATTTGTCCTTTATTTCAGCAATAAACAAATTAGTTTTCATTTTCAGTTACTCACTGTTAGTAACCCTTGTGCGCTTGAAGTGTACTTCAAATCTTAAAGGGATAGTTCACCCAAAAATGAAAATTCTGTCACACTCACCCTCATGTCGTTCCAAGTCCATAAGACCTTCGTTCATCTTCGGAACACAAATTAAGATATTTTTGATGAATTCAGAGAGCTTTCTGACTCTCCATAGACAGCAATGATCATAACACGATCAAGGCTCAGAAACATAGCAAGGACATCGTTAAAATAATCCATGTGACTTGGTTCAACCATAATTTTACGAAGCTACGAGAATACTTTTTGTGCGCATAGAAAACAAAAATAACGACTTTATTCAACAATTGTCTCCTCCACATCACCCTATAACACCATTTTGGAGAGTATCACATACATAAACAATGTATCCACGCAGATACATTGTTTACGTTCAGATCAAAGCGTAAACATCATATCCACGTTTCTGAGCCTTGATCGTGTAAGGACCCTTGATGTCTATAGGAGGGTCAGATCAAGAGCTTTCAGAATTAATCAAAAATATCTTCATTTGTGTTCTGAAGAAGAACGAAGGTCTTACGGGTTTGGAACGACATGAGAGTGATCAATTAATGACCGAATTTTCATTTTTAGGTGAACTATCCCTTTAAAAGTATATTTATTTAAAACACCGTACATTATACATAATATTACTGAGAGAAAAGGGCACTTGAGTGAACTTAAAGAGAGACTATGTTTCTTAACTCACTTAAGTACACTTTCAAATAGTGCACTTTGTAATAATGTCAAATTAAACGATTTCCTACATTCTCAGTCATGTTCTAAAAAACAAAAATGGGTTATTTTGCTCAACGCAAACGCTGGGTTGAGCCTATTAGCTGATTTTGTGTTGCTGCTTGGTCAAATGCACCCCTTTCCCACGCCTCGACATAACAACCCAGCGGTAAAATTACTCATCCTCTTCAGGAAAGAGCAGCAGCAGGTTTAACATTAAGTGACATACAAAAAAAAAAAAGAAGAAGAAAAAGTAAGAAAAAATTATAATACCATGAAGGAAGATCGGCTTGTTGATGTTTGTCTGCCATTCTCGCTCTGTCTGCACAGTGTGCGTGAATGCGCTGATGACGTATCCTGTCTGTGCGAACAGGGTGCGCAGAGGTATGCTAATACATATGTTGACAGGCAGTTAGGAAAGCCCATTAAAACGCTCGGACCGAGTATTTTGATTGGACAAACATTTCTTGGTCCTACGCCTTCCACAGAATATATAAATACAGATAAATACATTTAGACCACTTAACTTAATGATTGCTATCGGGATGTGAAGAGACTTTCAACCAGCATAACAAAAAATGTTTCTGAAGACAATCACCTATTACACCTTTAATGTTAAAACTGCCTCTCGGAAAGAGCGATTCACATCGTCGTCGAATTGGTGCATTTCTTTGGTGAGATAGCCTACAGGTGTGTGTTTTATTTCATCTATAAAATCGGGTCAGGTTAGCCCAACATGTGTTCTGTCCTAGCTTTACCCAAAATCGGGTTGTTTGTGCATGTGTGTTTTTTTTTTTAACGAATTATGTTTAAATAATCGTTTGTCATTCTTTAAAGGGGTCATATGATGCTGCTAAAAATAACATTATTTTCTGTATTTGGTGTAATGAAATGTGTTTATACGGTTTAAAGTTAAAAAAACACATTATTTTCCACATACTGTACATTATTGTTTCTCCTCTATGCCCCACCTTTCTGAAACACGTCGATTTTACAAAGCTCATCGGTCTGAAAAAGCGAGGTGTGCTCTGATTGGCCAGCTATCCAGTGCGTTGTGATTGGCCGAATTCCTCAAGCGTGTGACGGAAATGTTACGCCCCTACCATACTGTGATGCCTTGTCCCGGCCGGAGCAACAAGACAAAAACATGAAAACCCATTATAAACCAGGCATTTGTTGCATCCAGTGGGGACATAATTACTGATTATAATGACTAATACTGTCTTTTTACGAGAGGCGTGGGCTTGAGAACGGCGTGGCCGGCGGATTCGATGAAGGATTCGATGAAGGAGCGGCAACCACATGTGATGACCCCGGGCTGGACTCCGCTTCGTCCACGGTGAAAGCCAATCCGGCGATCCACAGCACTTTGTTGTGCTGTTGATGTCTTCCCTCAGCGACCAGCACGGATCACCTCTAGGCATGACGAAGCGGATATCGTCCTCTTTTGGAAGACCAAACAAAGTAGTTTCGCTTTCACAACGAAACACACAGCTCTTCAGGACATGGCGACGGCTGCAACAATACTACAGCTAAAATAAAAGTTACGCCTTCTTTCTTTGCGTGAACATTTGTGCGGCGTTATGCAAATTTTCCCACATAGTGACGTAGACATGTGGGGGCGTGTTAGAACGAGCCGTTTTAGGTAGGCGTGGCTGACTCTTAACTTTTATAAAGAATATCTCTTTGGATTTGAGACTTTAGTCTTTGCTACTTTACAGATCTTCTTTATGCACCAAGAGCTTGTAACACTCCAAAGAGAAAGGAAAACTTGAAATCGCATCATATGACCCCTTTAAAGAAGTACACTGTGCACATGTAGTACTTGATTAGAATTTAGTGTGTTGTTTGATATTACATTTAAAGTTAACATATTTTAACCCTCTATGGGATATCGTCATTTATAAATGACGCTAAGAAATTTGCATTTAAAATACAATATTAATATTCAACCAACAGAATTTTATTTTAGTTATGTCAAATGACATCCCCTTCAACCAGTAAAATTTAAATTTATTAGCCATGTGCTTCACATTTTTGGTAACTAAGTAGTAAAGGAGACATTAGCACATGTTAGGTCACATGCTCTCAAGGCTCCATAGTGAGTAGCCTAGGGAAGATTCCCCGATTCGCTTCAGTGCATCGGTAAAAAAAAGTTAA